GAAATGGTAGGTCTACATGAAGAAATTAATTGGAAAACATATTTAAGCTTTGTCAGTCTCTTTGGTACATAGGGCACCATGAATCTCATTACCACTTCCACACTGTATCTAATTTCTAAAGCATGAATGGGCTGTTTATCACATCTACTGATACATCATTTTACCATGGAGAATTAAGCCTCTGCTTTCGTGCATTGATATCAAGCCAAGCTCTGCCCTCGGGTGGCTGTGTTGATGTCTATTTAAGAGAAGTGTTGACTTCTGGGGACTGGAATGACATGGGCTAAGTCTTCTCAGATGTACTCGGTCATGCAAATATTCTGTGCTCCACCCCCACACAACAACAGGATCACACCAGGCCATGGCATGTTTTCTTGTCTCAGAGGGCCCGGTCTGCAGGGTGTCTGTTCCTCTATTGTTGTGTCCATTTGGTGAAGTTAAATCTCACTCTCATGGCAGAACACCATTACAGAGTGACTCAGCAGTATGGCGGGAGCACAGCCATCAAGCACAACAACCCGCTATGCAGATCCACTAATAGAAACAGGAGTCCAAAATAATGTGAACAAGAAATCACAGAAACGGTGTGACACTTACTTTTGGAATAAAAGAATCAAGAGGGGTAAATGTTTCTGAATGAGTATATCATCAAAACAATCACCGATACATACGAGTAACAAGCAGCTATGCCATTTGAAGTAAATATATAGGTTAATCAGATGATTGTGTTTGGAAATTTTACAAATGTGCGTTTCCGCAAAATGTCACCGTCTCAGGACCAAAAGCACAAGCAGGTCATTTACCAAAAGGTTAAACAGCCATGAAAACAGGCCCTTTGATGCCAGCGGGTGGTTTATTTGGCCATCTGGAGCCACAACGTGACAAAAAGTACAAAAAAGCAGGGAAACCTGAGCACAGACCTGCAATGCCAAGCACATACTGCAACAGCTTATTATGAGGAAGTTGAAACCACTAAACTGAAGAAGCAATAGTATCTGGCAATTACTGTGTGACAGAAAATGTAGAGCCATAGAAATAAATTCTAGTCACTTTCAAGCAACAATATGTATTCCTAAAATAATTCAGAGGATTTAAGAAGACAGATTTGTTTGTTGGTGTGAAAATCCCCAACTGTTCCCTCTACACAGAATGGGTCCTATCCTGGGATTATACCTCAGCCATGTGCTCCATCTTGCCGCCATGTGTACAATAAGGCTGGAAGACCAAGCACTGCATCTATGAGCCCTCTCACACTATACCTACAGTCCCGACATCACTAGTGCACCGCTCTGCCGCAGAGGCTGTTCCTTAGCAACCGGCTCAGAAAACCGTGTCACCATAGAAACCATCACAGGAGAAAAAAAAAAAAAAAAAAAAAAAAACACATTTGGTAATAAGGTTAGAGTTAGGTTTAGTTAAAGCGCTGATTATTTCTGTGGGATGTTTTGCAACTTATTTGATGATTCAATTCTATCTGCCATATCAGCCAATAAAGCAAAAATCCACATTCCCCTTAATTGTGATAATATCCAGCAGAATGTCAATTCATGTAACGTATGGGTACAATGCTATGTGAAATAAGGCATTTGCACACATTTTTATATATATACACACACACACACACACACATATATAAAAGGAGAACATAAGCAGCTTGTTAATTACGTGCCAAGTGAATATCCATTAAATAGTGTGCTACACTTTGGTATGAGAGATGGAGTCCTAGAAACCTATTTCTCGTAATACATTTAGCAAATATTCCCAGTTGACTTTGAACCTTCTGGGCTGTCTCTCCCTTTGGGTAAGGATACAAATTCTCAGAGACATGAATGGAGAACAGAACAGACCATCTCTAATCAGAGGCAAAGTTCTACTTCTAAAACCTCAAAATTAAATCACTGCGCTAGATAAACTCAACCTGCGTTGACAAAATGTGTAACAAGTCTGCCTCATGTGCAGCATGCTGAGGTAAGCTTCCTATTTGAGATACAATACCACAAATGGGACGACAGAAAGAGGAGAGAATATTTCAGCCTCCACAACCAAATGTATCTAGGTACTGCATACAGCCATGCTATGAACAGAGAGACAAATAAAAGGTCATGCCAGTGTCCTTTGACCTCTATCCAACAAAAGTATCCTTTCCTCTTCCTCTCTTGTGAGCAATTGATGTTAGAGGTGTAGAAAAAGGCATAGGATAATGGCATTCTCTCAGGTATAGAACATAAGGTTGTCCTGGCTGCCTTGTTCTATGCTTTTCAAATGCAAACATTCTGTCACAGTGCTTTAGGAAACAGGCTATATAGGTTCATCAAGCAACTTATGCAGCTTTAATTTACTTGAAGTGTTAGCCGCCAAATGTGCTCTGAATGACAGTTGTTTGTAGTATGCAGCCTGTAAGACATAAGTTTAAGCTTCCTCTCTGAGTAAGGGAAGCACTGAATGTTATGCACAGACAGAGGGTGAGCAAAGGTCAATGTGACTTTCGCAAACTAAAGTAGATAAGACTCTTCAATTCACTGGAACACAATATCACTTTTTTTATACATACATGCTGTAGCTATAAAACCTAATATGGGCTCCATACTTCATAACGTGTAGGACCACTAGACAGGTTTTGTTTTTTGGGGTTAGCCATTGCCTAATTTATTTCCCCCCAGTGTAAACAACTTGGAAACATGCTTTTGATAATATTAGAAGCAAAAGTGAGGTTCACAGAACACCTACCATCTTGCCGTCAACAGTATACAGCCGTTTGACGACTCCAGAGTCCAGCTTAATGGCATCTGTTATGTCAGTCATGACTTGCTCAAAGGAGTGTGCAGTCTTCTTGTTGAGCAAGATCCGTACGGCCTTGCGAGGCTTTACTCCACTGCGGACGATGGTTACCAGTTTGGGCTTAATAAAGTCCTTGCTCTCTTTGGCTTCTGGGAATCCAGTCTTGGCACTACCGAGGGAAGAAGGGTCACGGACGGACACAGCAGTCCTGGCGCCAACTGACCAGTTAGGATTCACATTCTTTGTGTAGTCCACCTTCTTGTAGGGCTCTATGGAAGCACAAACATAGCTCTCCCCTGCAGAAAATCAAGACACGTTAGAATATTTTCTATTTGCCTACAAATAAAAGACACACAAACCAAAGATCCCAGATAGGGTAACACTAGCTACTTCTGCTCTACTAGACTACTGAATCCTGCATTTTGTTTTGAACTGCATCAGCTGTTAATTTTGGAGGAGTCTGTAACTTCACTGATCTCACATTACTCAACGTAAACTAAATCTGGGGCAAATTTACAATTCAGGAACACTCCTCACCTTCCACCAGCTGGTCCATGCTGGTGATCTTTGTTGTCCCATCAATGGTATATATGGTCCGCACCCCTAGTGGCAGGTTGACATTATCTGACAGAGATCTTGTGAGGTCAGCCAGGAGTGCTTCTATGGACCTAAATCTCTCCTGAGAAATGGCATACACAATGCCTTTGAAGTAGCGGTCCCCATTGCGGTAGAAACGAATCTTCTTGGCCTTCTTTTCTGAGCTCAGTGCTTGCAGTGTCCTGGTTCTGTACAGGCTGCAGTGAGCACTATGAGTGGGACTAGGAAGTCCATTCCCTCTTGAGCCCCTTCGGGTATACCTCTGAGCCTTGTCCCGCTCATCAAAGTGCTCCAGCTCCATGACAGTGCAGTGTTATTACACCCTAAATAATACAAGGAGAATTCTTACCATTTGTTTAAGCTCTTTGAACTTCTATAATACACAAGCCATTAGAGCAATCAGGCTCTCTGTCAGTCTAGTTGCTTTCGCTCCTGAGACAGCACTGATGCAAGCTTTGGTGCTGCCACTGATGCTCCTACACATTATGAAGTAACATGTCACACCCATTTCATGCTCCCTGGTGTGTCTCAATTCGGTCTTAATAGCAATGAAGTTAACATGCATTTGCAGTGGCTAGCACAACATCAAGATGCATGTTTCGGGATGTTGGGTGAAAGCTTATTGCCATAGGTAAACAACAAAAATCAAAATCTAGCAAGAAAACGGTATAGAACAAATTGGGGTTTTTTTCTGATGCAATCGATCTTACCTTTGAGGTGAGGACAGATTCAATATAACGTGTATCTGTAAGCGCACTTGTCTCAATGAATCATTTCTTCATTTGATGCCTTATTAGATTAACCATGCGTCCCTTTGTTGCTCCTGTGATGGTGCTCTGTCTGCTTGCTTGACCGCCGTGTGTTCACTCTGCTGTGTGTTCACATGCAGAGAGGAGGCAGGGCTACAGCCAGTGTCCTCCACCCTCCCCTACTCCTCTGCCATTGCAGTGATTTACACCGGACCGCTCCGGTGTCAGAGCTCACCTCATCGAAACCCTCGGTGCGCGTTCACATTGAGGTTGACCTGCTTGAATAACTCCATCCTTAGATACAGTTATACATTTAAAATAAAATAAATAAATAAAAACTATGATCACTAAATCAGCTCACAACCACAGCAACGCGTTTGATTACCTTAAAGCTATCACTCCAGACGTTGGGACTTGGGAAAGTGCTCCCCAAACACATTTCACTATCGACCATAGCTTCATGCTAACGTTACTTTACCAGCTAACGCTAGCAACCTGAAACTATCATGGGTTACAGTGACTTCAGATATTTAAAAAATGAGCGAATCACCTCCTCTTACATTAAACGTTTTCTTTTAGTAACCTAATTACTTTGCTAATACTTACCATGTTCAACAATTATGTAGTGTTAGAAAGTCAGTGTTCAGCTCAGAGCTAAGTAAGCAACGCTACAGCTATTTGTTTTTGTGTTTTTTTGTTTATTCCCCATTAATTTTGCTGCTGTGGCTTAAAATTACTCTACACTGCCTGAGCAGAGTACATGTTGGAGTTACATTTGTCGTTAACAATGCACTACAAATCTGATGTTCCTAGCCTTCCTATCTGGCATATTTTGAGACCAACTCACACAGGTGTAGGTGATGTGTAATTAATTCAGCCACAGCCCAAGCACATGGATAATGTTGAGCTGCTGAAGGAGGCGTTTCACACACTGGGACTAATAAATCTAACTTAAGTATGAACAGAAGACCACCTAATGGTTTATTTGCATGTGGTTTTGTATCAAAATCATCACAGCAGACTGTCATGCTTTCAGAGGCCTACCATTACTTCCTGCATGAATCATTTACGTAGGAGTGGTTCTAGGATACAGGCTATAGTTTTCTAACTATCAGCATTTTTGAATTTGTTCAAACTGATTACTTTATTTTTGGGCTTGCATCCAGCTGGCCTGCTGAAGACATAATTTACTTAGCCTCCAAGTTTGGAAGGTTATTTTCAAAAAGTCACAGTTTGCTGACTAAAATATTTTAATGGATAAATGTCTGACGTGTGGAAAAGCTGAATTACTTTCCTTCTCACTTTAACAACTTTTCCTTTACTAGTAGGCTATGTTAAAAAAATTTGGCAACATATTTCTGTTTTCATTGTCTTTGCTTCTTTATAGAGTATAAAGATGAAGTCTATCCAGACGATATGATAACAGCATGAAACGTGTTGGACTAGATTTCTTTTTTGACAAACCTGGGAGCAAGTCATTGCAATCGTATGAAACTTCAGCAGCTGAGCAGTTGAAGTAAGAGTATGAGGATAGCGGGTGTTGTATGCTGTACGGACTGTCAAGGCCATTGAAGCATATTTATGATATTGGACACCTTTCATCTTAACTTGTTTAAAACCTCAAATGTTTGGCAAACAAAGGAGACATCTGTGTGTTGTGTGGATTCAGGACTGTGTTTGCCTTCAGGTCCTAAGGATGAGCTCCAGTCTTCTCTTCATTCTCGCAACGGAGGTTGGATTTGGTCGATTCCAGATTGTGCTATCAGAGAAACTGACTCTCTGTACAGTCATGGGCAACGTGAAGGCCTACATTGCGTAATGTTCCTGTGTGAGCATGTGTCTCGTAATCCTAATTTGGAGAGAGTTAATTAACTGGTGACGTATCAACGTGTGGCTTGTGTTTACTGTATATATTCACAAATTCACATGTAATATTTTGCATGTTTTTCCAGGCTTCAAATTGGAACATCTTACGCTTGTGTGACCTTCTGCCCTTTGTCAGTTAGACACAGCAACGACAAAGTAAGGTACATGACCTTCCTGAAAGAGACTCTGCCTCCAAACATTCTTTCTAAAGTAGGTCTATTATTTTTGAAGATAAATTATTTTTGATGAGTATGTCTCATTTTCCTAATTTAATGTTTTGTTTTCCACAGCTTTATAAAGCAGTTGAGTAGAATGTGAGCTATTCATGGAAAAATATACAGAGGAAACGGTATGAACTGTCCTAGCCATAGAGTTATTAAGACTGAGGAAGTAAATTTTTAGTTTTTTAACTGCAAAAGTGGGATTTCTGACAGGCTAAAGAGGAATGCCTCACAGAAAGCAAAGCCAGCTGCTAAGAAGTCAACTGAGGGTATGATTATGTATTTCCATAATTTACTGGATTGGTCTCTTGATGCATTTGTAGAATAAAAATAAAATCATATTTGGTCTCACCAGACGTATAAAAACATCACAAGCCTATATAAACATAAAAACATCATTATAATATCAATGCACACTCGCACGCACTCCTCACATCACATTACTACAGTTAATACCACATACACAGTGTACAATATACTTTCTATACAGAACATTTGTGCAGTTTGTTAAGTTTAGTGCACTATGTATAAAAGATCACTTATAGATCTTTTTGTTTGCCAGAGGTACTCTGTATTGTCGCTGCTTAAACTAAGTATGGAGGGGGTGTTTTGTGTCACCAATGATGGACCAAGCTTTCCTATGTAGAGCTGTACTGTAAATGTCATCTAGTGACTTTGTTGCTGGCCAATTATCTTTCCTGCTGTTTTGACAATCCTGGCCAGCTTGGTTAGATATAAGTGTTAGATATCCAAACCAGACAGATATATTTGACACTGGAATACTCTCTATCTGTATTGACTATATGCCTTGCAATCCCGGGATAACAATTGTCAGATTAATAAACTTGTAAACATTGTTTGAGAGTCTTTCTTGCAGTGTGAGTTTAACATAGTATTTCAGTTCATGTCTCAGGAAGATGCACTTAGCAGAAGATCTGCAAACAAGTAAATCAGTCATCTGTCACAATAACCAATCCTCTGACAATGGATCAAATGTTTCCTCCAGCTCATGGCCTTAGCACAGTGCATGCCCCGCCAATACTGTTGGACAAATCTGCTGTTCCCCAGGGACAAATGCTACCAGTGTACCAGGATCAATTTCTCCCTGCCTCGTTTCAGTCTGTGGAAAATAACTATGTGAACCGGACCTCTGAATCTCACTTCATGTGCTTTCACATCAGCAGTGATCAGCTGGCACTTCTTTACCACAGATGTAACCTCACCCATCGTTAGGCCATGTCTTATGTGATGTCACCCCTGGCCTGGTGGATCCCGTTGCTCTCCCATCAGTGAGTTTTGGTCAAGCCTACATCCCACCTGAACAGACTACGGTAACAAACTTTATCATACCCCCAGTAGAAAAATGTCAGATCAGGAGGAGCCACCTCAGGTTGGCCCAGCCGATATTTTACAAACCAACTGATTTACTTTAGGGGGTACACATACGGTAAGTTGCATACATGTCTAAATATGGTAGGTCTTCATTATTGCCAGCAAATTGGTTAGCTCATAGTAACAAAGTCTGAGGGCTATGTACAGCATAGTACACAGATCTCAATAAGTGCATTTTCGATTCAATAAAAGTGCTTGTAGTTTTCACCATTGTTGTGAAAAAGTTTGCACGGGCAGATTATTTTACTACATATTTTATTTTTTGACAGAACATTGTAAGAATTATGATTGAGCTGTGCATCAATTGTAGAGGTAAATAAAGCAGATCAGTCATATTTTATTGTATTTACCATTTGACAATTTAAAAAAATGGCCAATCCACATCAGTCACTAACTTGTTAAATAAATTGAAAGCTTGCTGTAATTTTTTGTCTTGCAGTTGAATGCTTTCTTGAATACCGTTGTGAATAATGCACTCAAATATTGCCAGTTTATCTCTGAAAGGAATGTGTTAGTTTTGACTAAATAAGCAGTCAAGCCCAAATTGCTATTTTACAATTAAATTATTTTCAGGAATTTGAAAAAAATGCATTTATGTTGATACGAGAGTACTCGGCAGCAGAACAAATCTCATGAACCGCCCCCCATAAAATAATTTATAAACGTATTTATTTGTATTTTTGAATTCTTCCTTAATACTTTCCATTCTTAATTTCTTAAAATTTGACTCAGAATAGGAACAGAATATTTACATATAATACTCTGGACTCAATCAAAAAAAAGTTTGTATTTTCCTGTTTATATTCCTATTATAACAAAAATAATTTACAGAATAAACCATATGAATGATGAAATTACTCTTAACATGTGGTAATAAATACAGCCACTAGATGGAGGTATTAAACTGACAGATTAGTCTTGGATTTAAACACATCAAAACCGCTCAAATCTATGCTGCGCTTACCTTTTTCAGCACAAAATAAAAAGTATGAATCCCAAATTCTTCAAAAACAATGAATCTCTTGTTTATTTAAATAGTTTCAGTATTTCAGGTGGGAAATACATCTCAATGTGCAGAGTACTTGAAAGCCATCTGAAAATTACATTTACCTGCTGGGGTCTTAAAGCTGGAGTTTAGAAGCCAAACCAGATCACTCAAAAAAACAGCATCACACTTCAAAAATCACATTTTGTTAAATGTTCTGTCCATACATCAAACTAATAGCATCTAGTTTTTAACATTTTAAAAATATGTGGATATAACTGAATTGAATGCAGAAGACAGCACTGCAAATTGTAGCGGACACAAATATAAACAGCAGTTGAGGCATTAACATTGTAGTAACCCTCATTTACAGGAGTCAGCAAACACTCACTTGCTACATACTGAAGGTCAATCAAAAATACACAATAGACCACAGATCAAATTTTACAGCTTAGGTTTAACAAAACGTTAGATTTTTGCATATCATTTGACATTTGCAGGCACATTCACAGCGATTACTCCTCATTTGAAATACCACGGGGGAAGCAACAGTATAGCAGATTCTTTTTGGTCTGAAACAGTTAACACACATATTTTTAATAATTCCTTCAAAGTATGTAAATTGCACAATTTATAGATTTCAGTGTCTACTCAATGACAATTCCAGTGCTTTCTTAGTAAAAAGAGCAGAGTGATAATACCTGAATGTTATAGTGTGTATCAATATACTGTACACACAAAATTAATGTTACACTTTAGGTTATATAGTGCCGTTTTTCTTCATTAGGTCCATCTACCTTATTTTAAATAAAGATTAAAGTGCTCAAGACATGTATCAAACTATAGGATATGCAAATAACAGTAGTTATGTTGTAAATATAGAACACATTTTTATAAATAATGAATATTAAATATAGATTTATTTGATGGAACAATACAAATTATGCTTTAAGGCATTGCTGAGGGAATGAGGCACTGCCGGCTATTTGTCCGATTTCTCCACTTGCTTCTCACTCTGTGGCTTTTCCTGAAGCTTGTAGTCTTCCAAAATGGCCTGTGCCGTTTGCTTGCCAGTCCTTTTCACCACAGCTTTGATCCCCAGGTTGTCAACATTGAAGGCAGTGATACCGACATTAATGGCAGAATTGACAGCATTGTCTGTGGCTTGTCCTGCTGCTGCCCCGTACCTTCATCAGAAGTCAGATTCGGTGAGAGGTCAGAGTGAGAGGTGAGAAACAGAGGATTTGGGAAGAATTAATTAATATGCAGTGCAAGGATTGCAAAGACGCCATGCTGTTCGCCATGAGATTTAATGTGACGATTACATCCATGCAAGTGCGCCATCTCAAATTAACACATTTCTGACTGCCAATATGTGAATTTTAATCATTTTCCCCCTATGATTCAGAAATCCAAGGGCGGGAAATATAGACATAGAAATTAAACTATAAAAACTATATCTCAATAATCAACTATATTTTGCTCATCATTGGAACAATTCATTCAAAACAGGAAGATTTTAAAGTCAGGCAGGACTGAAATGTTGCTAATTGTGAAATTCCCATTGGAAAGATTTGAACAGCAGCGCCCCCATATGAATTTCCACACAGGGAAGGCAGTAAATTGGCACAGCATAGATGACCAGAGTGCTTTGTGCAAGAGCCAAATCATTCTTTAAAAAAGAAAAAAGAAAAAAAAGGAGGCTTGTGATTAGTGGTTAAAAGAGGTGAATAATTAGGGAAAATTACATTTCTTCTCATTAGGTGGGTCAAAGATGTTTTGTAGACCCCTAAATCTGCAAACAAATTGAAAAGCAAAGTAAGTGAGTGCATGTTTGGTTTGCATGTATAATGCTAGAGGTAATTTGCAATATATATATATCTCAAAAACCTGTCCAGCAAGCAGTGTTGAGCAAAATGTGCAATGCTTTACATTAAAGCCAGTGACGAGTAATTTTAAAAGAGAAGAGAAGACTTACTTGTGTTTTACGGTGGTGACTGTTTCTGATGCTACACTCGTGGTAATGTTCTTTGCTGCTACTTCCAAACCAGTCCACATGGTCGCAAATCCTAGGTAAATACACAAAATACAAGGCATGTTAGGCACGTTTAAAAAAAAATAAAAATGCTTTATCATTATAATCATCATAATCATAATATGCTGTGTGCATATTATACTGATACATTGACTGTGCAGTATATTTTATTACTTTTGATACCAGCTTTTAACAGTTTGTGTATTTCTGACAACTTTTTCAACCTTTTCATCTTTACTTGATTTAGGGAAGTTGCACTTACATTTGTTGAACTAAGGTTAATGACAATAAAGCATTACGATTCTAATACAATGTCCTCTTAGAGAATATGTATGTAATGTAAATATACTCTACCTTGCACTCCACTGGCAGCCACCACCATGGCTCCATCTATGTTGGAACGTCCATCCTTGTCTTTCCTAATAGACTCTGGGATCAGCTTGCCTCCGTGTTTTTTCACATGTGGAGCCAACTCTCGACCGACACAGCTCGCGACCGTACACACCCCGTCCACTACAGTAACACAAGCATTATTCAGTCAGAGATCCACTGCCAAATAACCACACAAGGTCAGTAAAACATGCTGACTGGGGATGACTTAGTCACCTAGAAACTGGCTGACTTTGACAGCTCCCCCTGTCGCTTGCTTGGCAACATGGAGGCCTTTGGTGACTGTGGGGCTGACGTGGGTGGGTTTGTCCTCTGGAGTGATGTGCTCTCTGAGTTTAGATGCACCTTTGTGAATGGCCTTGCCTGTGAACTCGGCTCCCTTCACCAGGCCCCAGCTTAGCCAGGACGCACCTGAGAGGACAACAGGATCACACAGGGCTAGTCCTGCTGTCTCTAGTCTTTCCTAACTAAAAGCATAAAGATATTTTAGGGGGAAGATGCAGTTCGACCTCACCTGTCAGGATCCCACTTGCCACCTTTTCACTCCACTCAGGCAGAGGCGTATCCTCCTGTGTTGCTGCAGGTTCACTTTCCTCAGGTGTCGCGATGGCCACCTTCTGACTGAGATTAATGGCGTCTGCAGCTTCATCTGGAGCCTGATTATATAGACACATAGGTTAGCTACTGTATGATGAAGACAGAACGTTGGCTGAAAGTAAGACCTGCTTGTCAGTCAAAACTGTTGAAATGCTTTTCTGCTTCTTTGTGCAAGCTGTGAACAACTCCATTCAGTACTTGTCTCCAAGTAAAACCACCCCCCCCCAATTCACATAATAGCTCCTCTTATGATTCTGTCCTCATTACAATGCGCTACTTGTTTGCCACAAAGAGATTACCATATAAAAATGTGCGGTCACAAAACAGTCTGCCTTTGTGCTGAAAACGTCAAAATTTCTAATTGACCCAAAAAATGAAAAGAACACAAAAGTACCTACTTGCTCATAGGGAATTACGTCCATCAGAGACAGCTAGATAGAGAAGATAACTAGCCTGACTGCATACTTCAGAAATGACCTTGTTTGGCATCGATCTGAGCCAGAGTCTCTCCCTCCATCATGGCTGAACTGGCACTTGTCTTTCATCTGAAGCTCTGAGGTTGTTCTAACTACTGCAGATAAGAGCATTATAACTGATTAATTCTCCTCACCTGCCTGTCTCAAATCCCCTCGATGCTGAGGCAGGGGTAACTTGGAGAAGTGTGCCAGCTCAAAAGTAAGCAGGAGCCAGTGTTTCAGATTGAATATCTGCTGTGTTTCCTCTGCTTGCACAATTTGTTTGTGATGACTGACTTAGGGGAAGGGTGGAGGGTGCCTTTTGTGTCAGTCTACACTTTCGACTGCATTTTAGCAAACAAAATAAAAATCTTTAAGTGTAAGGACAAATTATTTAGGTGACCCAAATGTATTTTTCGGTATGGGAAACTTTGATTTGTTAAGTCTACATTAACAGCTGAAGCTCAGGCATTTTTATATTACATTAATAGTATGGAATAATTAAAACTGATGAATGGGATCTCAACTTTCCAAAAATAAGCAAAATGAAGATGTACCCACTTTTACATGCCTGTAACTACCAACAGCGGCAGTACACTCTTAACTTCTGTCATTTGCCTAAAATAGCTCTCCCACTGGCACAAGAGGATTTGCCAAAAGGCATTGTGTAACAATTCTTTGGAGACTTCAAATACTTACTAAACATATTTTCATGTGAGAACAGTAAATACATTTCAGAGGCAAGTTTCTCAGAGCATTTGGCAGCATTTCCCCAGAGGATGTCAAAACATGTGTTGTGTTGTCGCATATCTGTCTACACAGCAACACTGACCTGAATCCTGAGATCTGTCATCTGGGACAGCAGGTCTTGAAACAGTGCTCTGTCTGCAGCAGGTAGCTCAGAGGACAACACTACCCCAACATAATAGCCTGGAGCTGGCGCCATCATGTCCGGAAACATAAACACACCAGTGTTACACAGTAGCACTGGAGAGTCCATGGCCATGAGAGGGTATAGCCAGTCACACACCTGCCAGGAAGCAAAAGAATGTTGGGAGGAATAAAGAAGCAACAGCTGGAAAATGTGAGAATAAACAAATGATGTTTATCAGCCCATAATTTCCAATTTATTTATTTATAACAATGTAATCTATATACAGATTGAATTTACATGGAAGTCATATGTATGAGGGGAAGAGAGCTTTAAAAAAAGAGAGAGTGATAAATATAAACCTCAAAATGATGAGCCTTACATGTATAATGGTGATTCTGATTACTAACACAGTGAACTGTCTGAGGGAAGACAAACCAGAGGACACGTCTCACTCTGACTGCTGCATGTCTAACAGGATTACAGGGCATAACCGTGTAAGCAGGGTTTAGCTAATTACTTGCACTCATGTGAATCATTGATGTCACCCACTAGCAAAAGCACCTGGGAAATTCCCCATTGAAAAGTCAAATGTCGGTCCCATGATCCACTACTGTGAGTCTAGTGGTTGTTTTATCTTATCAATTGTTGTAGTGCTACATGTGACCTCCACATTTACAAACCCATCTAGAGGTTCAAAGGCCTCATGGTCTGTACACTAGCTAAAGTAAAAGTGCAGATTGAAGTACCTAAATGTGATTTATTCCTGTGCATTTCACTGACTAAATTAAAGCAAGGCAGAAAAACAGACATATCTGGTGAACATCTCAGAATAATTTGAGTAATGTAAAAATGTATGTGCTATAAAAAAAAGACTATATATAAAATATTTCATGGTGACACAGATGCACAATGCAGAATATTCCTAACTTAGATTAGTTGCTATGTTAATAATCTGACAAATAAAGGACCCAACTCCCTGTTGTGTAACATATTTTCACACAATCTTAGCTGCTAGACAGTTGCAGGGCTTTTCCTTCATGAAGAATTTTAAACAGAAAACATTTTGCTGAATTTCCATCTTTCAAGAGTTGCCTTTACTTTATCACTGCCAACTGTAACTGCAACAGCAGAATCACTCCAGTGTTTTGGATTGCATCATAGTGCACGGGTATAACTATTTTCTGGTATTTCACTGTGTATTTTAAGCACTACAATGTAAAAAAGATGTGCTATTGCAGGCTTTTGTGAAACACGTGAGGTGTGCAACAGTATTTTATACTTGAACTCTTTGTAAACCCGACTATAATTTAGATTAAAATAACATTTTTCAATTAGTCATAAGTTCATCTGTGTTTTCTATATGTGGAGGAAGTTCATGTCTGTCATGACTGAGGTATCATTTTTGTCCAATTTTAAACCAGTCACAAACATGATTGTTGAGACTGACAGGAGGATAACATCATATCCATAAACCCATTGGGATTAGGGCACTGACTAAATAACCCTCACATGATCACAGCCATAGTGCAAGGGATAGAGATCATTAACAAGCCTATTTTCTCCTGATGATGACTCACAATCAAAGAGGTCTTGAACTGAGCAAACATCTTACAAAATCAGGTTAAAGGGCACGAGCAAGACTGAAGAGAACTGGTGACACTGCATTGATGACATTTCACTTGCAGTTATTGCATCAGATGGGCACGAGTGTGGCTTGTCTAGTCCTTTCAAGGTTTGCAACAGAAAGTGCTGTAGTGTGCTGAAAAAACCTGTGGGAAAATATGTATTTTCTCTTACCTGCAGAAATGCTGGTGGTCGGTTGGGCATTCTATCAGAGTGATCACTACTAAACTTCACCAGCCGCAGGTAGCCCGGGTATGATGGAGCACTCACTTGCCCTTCAGGTGTGACAAAGAATATCTGTACACCATGAGGGATATACAGTAGCTCCTCTCCCTCTTCGCCCATACTCTGGGGAGATGGTGTTGAGTTAGATGTACGACTGTAGAACTCATCCCCAACCAATGACATTTCCCCTGCATCTGTCCCATATGAGATAGACAAGTGGCCGTCAGCCGCCTGAGGAGAGTAAGCTGGAGGCTGCTCGACTAGAACCGCAGGCTGTCTGGTAGGTGAGAGAGGTAGACCCTCACTACTGCACACAGGCATGCCTCCTACAGCTCCTGCTGCCTGGCCATTAGCCGACAGTGGGTTTGGGGGAGCTGGCCTCTCTGGCTTCTTGTTGATGGGAAGTTTTGGGTAAAGACCTTCTGCAGACATGTCTGTAGCACCAGGGACAGACACACTGCTAGTGTTCAGTGTAGGTGCAGATCCAAGGTCAGAGCTGGTCTCTAGTATGGCCAGACGAGTGGTGATGTTGTTCAGCGTCTCCTGCATCTTCTGCTGCATCTGTCTGGCTAATTCCCAGGAGCTGCCGACACACTCCTCCCCCTGTGAGGGCACACTGGTGGCCCTGAGAAGGTGCTGTCGCCCTCGCTTGTAGAGCTCCAGGGCCTGTACCTTGTCTCCAGCTTCGTCTAAAGTGAGTCCTTTATTGATGCATTCAAAGGCCCTCTCATAGCCATCTTTGATCACTTGTAGTCTGGCATTGTCGAATGCATCTTGTTTAGCTTTCTCCATTCCCTCTGAAACAAGACAATTAGCTTTATTTTATAATTTGCTGTATCCATCCAAACATGTCTGACACTGATTCATCACGTGTATATAAGTTATCACACACACACACACACATATATATATACACATATACCTTAGCTAACGTTAGACGTTGATTATAACGTTACTTAAATTTTACAGCTTACTTAACTTTGGCCCCAGTGTTTAGCTCACCTTGTCCACAATCATAAGTGATTTCCCATCACTCAGAAACAAAGTAAGTGATATGACAAGTCTGTATTAAACGTAAACGTTACCCGATTCCCTCTATGTGCGTTTGTCCATTATCTGGTATAAAAGAGGTCGATAAAGTAGGCTAACACAGGCTTATGTTAACGATAAAGTCGCCAACAACAGCTACGAGTTCACCTGTTACGCCATGATACCTCAACATAAATATAACACTGACAAGTTAACATAATGTGCGACTTAGCATTAGCTTCTTCGTTAGCTAACGGTATGCACGCTTAACTTACCTCAGTGAGCGAAAAACTCAAGACAAACAGCTTAATTAGCCAGTTAGCTATGTAGTAGCTAACGTTACGTGTTCGTGTCAAATCCTTCTAGTTGTCGAACAGCAATAACTTCAACCGTCCACCTGAGGAGAGTTGTTGTATGTTGGCAGTGGCTGCTGGACTTTTTCACGACACACCGACGTACTGCAAGTTAGTGATGTTACGCAAACAACTGTCCACAGTATTGACCTATCAGAGCAAAAGTATCGTGGCAGGATGTGTCGCCTCAGACATCTTGCCTACGCCCACCACAATGTCATACATCTGGCCTGAGCCTTTAGCTTTATTTTGAAAGCATTAACCGGAAGTGTGAGTATGCTACTAGAACTGCATCGACGGTGAATTGATTTAAATTGTTGCAGTTCGTCCCTGTGACCATTGAAGGGCAGTAAACCACCACTCTATGATCATTTGTCCACGCTAGGCGGAGAGGACAGTTCCATATAATCCATAGACTGTACAAAAAAAAGTTATAATCACGATATTTAACTGCTGACTAGTGGGCACAGTGAGGAACAGCACTAAATTCCAATTGGTTAAGTTAACGTCAATGCAGAAATAGCGTACTAACATTTCCTGTGTAGCCTATACTTTAAAAATACAGTGACTAAATGGAAGCGTTTAGAAACGAACAAACTATGATTTTAATTGTTTTCAAGTGATCACAGAGACTACAACATGTGCTATTTTCAGTGGGAATAATATGGAGTTAATATTGATTATTAATGAATAGTCTTTAGACATATCAATAAGCATCAAAATAAGCATGCAATATAAAGCCCTATGTAATGCATTTTGATAAGTACCTGTAAGAAATCGGGAGACTTATGGAAAGCCGATGAGATCATTATTCTTGACCTTGTTCCATGTTTTAAATGTCTGTTAATTTCGTTTTATATCAGCTGGCGTTTATAAACGCAGTTGCAAAGGCCAGTCAGCGTTTGTGAATGCAGCTCAATGGCACACGTGAAGAGCATAAAAATCAACTTTCCAATTTAGCAATATCTTTGGAATTTCTATACAGTACACAAAGGTTGAATATCACTTTAATTCTGCTGGTAAAATATTATTTACACAAATGCAGATTGAAGAAGACACATTATCTTTTTAAAATAAATAATTTATATTTATTATTTTACTTATTTAAATTATTATTATTATTTTATTTAAACTTTGTGTCATTCATGTTCTCTGTTGTGTTGTAACGATCTAGTCCTGTTGTACAGATGTCTCTTTAAACTTTTGTATTCAATAAAGTGGGGGAAAAAGTTGATTTAAAAAAGCAAACTTTCTTTACATTTAAGTAGTGGCCCTACAAGTTCGGATATAAGGTGTGTTTGACTTCATGTGGCGCTTTGCAGCGCTGGCTTAACATGATACATGTTGGACTTATAGGAGACCTATTATACTGCATTTCCAACCCTATATTGTAGTTATGTGACTCCTTTATGGTAGCTTTGCATGATTCAAAGTAAAAAAAAATCCATCTCATACTGGCCCTTCATGCAGGCTCTCATTTCAGGCTCTGTCTGAAACAAGCAGTAGATTTCCCTGTCTCTTTAGGGGGCACACCGAAAAGACCACTGTCTTCTGATTGGCCAAGACCCTGAAGCATGTTTACCAGGCCTTTGGCTGAGCAGTACAGACAGAGTGAGCATAGCATTGCCAGGCTGTGGGCAAATTACCTTATATGGAAAACCTGCTCTATATGACATCATACAGAGCTGAGGGTAGAAAAAACTGTTGAAACCAGAGCATTCAGAAAAGGGGAAATCTTAAGTTTTGGCTCACAGGGATTTCTTTTAAATATGTTTACCACATTATTTGGAGCTTTGGCCATGTTTAACATGAACATCCGACATTGTAACAGTATAGATATGCCAGAAAATACAGAAAAGCATAATAAATGTATCCTTTAAGGCATATTGGATCTCTCTCTCTCTCTCTCTCTCTCTCTCTCTATATATATATATTCTTTATTGCAACACCAGTAATGACAAAGTACATATATATACCAGGGGTAAGTTGTAAAAAAAAATACAATCAGCAGTTCAGGCAATTAAGAAATTTACATGTATTAAGAGTCTTTAAGGCTTTGGGTGTGAATGGTTTGTAAGTTTTGTTGCATTTTATTCATAAAAAAATTCATTTAAAAAAAGGTTTGCGGTTACAAAATCTACATTTGTGAATGTGAAATGTTGCTAAGATAATCAAGTTGGACACATTCTAGCTCCCTTAGAGTGCACGAGCTTACTGTGAGCTCTGCGACATACTAGTTCAGCTACCCCGTTTTTTCATGCATCATGTTAAGTCAGCGCTAGCGCTGCAAAGCATTACAGTACATGAAGTCAAACCTTGGGTCTAGCTTTTCTCCAGCTGCTTTTCTCCCAGAATGTACACTGAAAAGTTTACCTACAAACTAACTGGGAAAAACTAAAATGATCAAATCAAACAAGACTTTAGGCTATGCTACTGCAGCACATAAAGAAATTATGAAAACTTCCATGGAGCTCTAAACATATTGGCTTCCATGGTTGGTTAAAGTAGTAACATAAGGCATTCATAAAATACTACAGTCGGGTAAATTAGCTGACTAACATCCCCCTCAAAATAGGTTGATGTTGGATTTAGATATTTTTAAGTCTTTGTGTGCCACAGCAATGTAAATTCTGTACATCAGCTTGTAGTTTTGTTTAAAATGTCTATCAATACTGGTGTCAATATATTGTATACAGAAGTATTACAGTAAATGGAGAGGAGTACTGATAGACAAGGACTATAATCTGCAGAGGGCGCCAGATCCAATCTCAAATGGAAAGATCTGAGAGACATGTAACTAGAGAGGGAGTGGTGTTTATACTGCTGTGGGTTCAAGATCATCAAAACGGTTTTATTACACTCATAATTTAAGCATTTTGTAGGAGTATGGAAATGATTAGACGTACAGCTTGATTTAAATGTGCCACTAATGATCATTAAATTGCATTCTTTTCATCATGTTGGCATTAAACAAAAAAGACTACAGGCATTTAAAGTCAGCAGTGCAAATCAACATGCATAATTAACTAAGAAGTCACTTTTTCAGAATCTTTCATGTCGTCATTTTATTGTTCTGACTGCTGCCAGTAATTTGCAAGAGTCCAGTAGAAAGGCATGTGATAATCATCAGTCTCATCACCAGTGTGACAGATTCCCAGCATACATCATGCACAGTTACTACAGCACAGGGATCAAACTGGACACGGTCTTTAAATATGTGGAGGTAATACCCCCCATGGCCTTTTCTCACTCCATATTCTGTTTAACTATGTCACACCCAATGACATTTTTGTTTTCCACCACAGACAAAGCACTGTAATTACTATGAGTAATTTAAGCTTTTGTTCTTAACATTTTAATGTTGCTGACTACCATGTTTACTATTGTGCATGCTATCGCAGTTTTAGTCAAAGTGAGTAAAAGAGATTTTGTTGATGATTCGTCTTTGAATAAATTCATGGTAAATACACTACACTGTACTTTAACTTCTTTATACTTTTTAGTTATATAACTCTTGTGTGGCTTATTATACATCTCAGAGTATCATATGTGCGTTGTACTCTCCACTCTGCTACTTAATTGTAGTTCTTGTCTAGCACTGACATGACTGCATCAGAGTACACTGCAAGTATATTGCATGTCTCCATATTGTTGACTATTTTTCCAGCTGAAGCTCCATAAGGAAGTTGTCAGTTTAATATGTTTCATCATAGTGAGTCCAACAACAACTAATGTCTGTAACTGAAACAGGCGGGTGTTACACATCTTGTGTCTTTCAAGTTGGTTCACATATGAGCAACATATGTGGCCTTAATCTTTTTGGATGGTTGATTTCTTTTAAATCTGTAGAACCATAGATGTGGTTTGGTCAAAGCAATCATTTGACATCAAAATAATAATACAGTTTCTTTTTACCAGTGTTAAAGAAAGCATAAACATCCACTAATCATAATTCTAGCTGCACTAAAAAGTAAAATTTAGTAAAAGTAAAAGTTAGAATGATACTATTACTGCTTTATGTGTTGTTATTGTTATTGTTATGTTGCTTTTCTTCATCAACGGTTGCCACACACAAAGAAGCTACATTTCATGTATTCTAAAACAGCTGGTCAGCATTCTTTCCACAAACTAATCAGACTTCACTGTTCCTTTACTCACTGAAATGAATGATAACACAGTGATAAATTAAGAATGATAACTTAGCCAACATTCAAATTATGTGCAGGTGCTTGGTGAAATAAAAATAAGAAGCAACATAAAACACAAAACAGTTTATTGGTTTCATTGATCCTTGGCTATTTCAGTAATTTCAATTCACTGCTGTATTTTCATAGAGTTTCAATTTTTAGTTTTCTCCTCAATTTAGTTGCAGAGAAACTTGTAATGAATGTACTGCTGATTTTTATAGGC